TTTGTGTAATGTGCACTGACATCTAGAAGACAGGAACCCAATACCTGATTGCATGAGCCAATCTCTCCATTTAGCCAGAATAAATTCAGATTGCCTTGTTTTCCAGCTCTGTTACTTCCCCACTACATCACAGACAGTCAGCTGAAATACTCCCCAACATCTTCCCAGTCTTGAGGCTCCACCCTCCACCCACAAGGAGCTTAGTGGTAACCCATTTCAAGAAATTCCAGTTCCGTAATTGCATCCTTTGACTAACACCTAAGCTCAAGCACTCCAGATTAGGAGACAATATGCTTTTGTCCAAAAGTATGTGTTAAAAGGATGGAAACTTTCATATGCTTTTTTGCTCTTCAATCAACTTGATTCCGAGTAGAATGGAGGAGTTAAGAAGCAGCAAAAGAACGTTAAGGAGAGTCTGGCTGGATCACAACAAAAAGTCTATCTAATGCAGTACCCTGTGTCCCACAATGGCTAAACAGATACCTATAGGTAACTCCCACCCCCAATGCAAGAGACAGTCCTCTCCTGCTGTGGTTCTCCAGCAACTGATTTTCAGAGACAAGCTGCCTCAAGCTGCTCCTGGAGGTGGTACAGCCATCACAGCTAGCAGTCACTGGTCCCCCACATTGTGTGACCTATAAGGGCAAAAAAGGGTTTTGTTCCGTATAATCAGCTTCCTACAATAACAAACAAGGACTATGCACGACCCATATATTTTAACATCACTGCTCTTCATGCAATCACAAATACCTAAATTTTAAAATAATGGCATCTGAGGTCAAATATACTAATTCAATTTACTCCTATAAGTGAAATACCATCTGATACAACAAAAGAAGACTCATTATTACACCCTGAGCAAAAAGTTCAATGCTAGCATTCTGTTCTAAAAGCATGATGGAAAGCCTACTGTAAAAAGAACTCAGTGCACCAGACATGGCTTAGCTAGAATTTTTTTTTGCCGGGGTGGTGGTGGAAAGAAATAATATTCTAAACTGGTTAGGAAGAAAGGTTTTGCCAAGCTATATTTCTGCCACAAATCTGGATTGTGATTTCAACGCAAGGGGTTTTTGGGGGGATGAGTTGGGATAGAGAAGAGATGGTTTTCAAAGGGCTCTGGGCTATAAAAGTTTATACTTAGCTTGAAATGCTTCTACTTTTTAAAGAGTGGCACAATCCATCAGGTATTTCTCCTGAGAAAAGAACCCATCAAAATGAGTGGGGAGCCACAGAAAAATGCTACTATGTTCTTGCACAGCTCCTGATTTTTGTAAGGTGGCCTGTAGGGAAGAATTTGGGACTCCAGGCAGCATACAATCACACAAACACACAAGCATTTGCTTCCCTTCTTTGAAAAACAAAATAAAAATGTTTATCTTAACCAAACATCAACATCCATTACAAGGTATCAGTAATAAAAGACTTCAACAAATAACTAATCTGAAATTTAGTTGATTCCTAAACCCACAGTGGTTGTTCCTAAAACAAAGTCCCAGTCATAGGGGTAGTCTACACCCTGCTATCCCTGGAGATTTGGGCTGCAGATCTATGCCCACTTACTGGATGCAAATGAGCCTTACTTCCGAGGAAGAACATATGCTTAGGCTGGGGCTGTTAGAGCCCCCCCCCCCCAAATGTGGTGAGTGCACAGAAGGAGCGCAAGAGGTGCAGCCTATCAGGAGTTATAAGAACAGCTGCTACCCTTGGGGACCTCGATTTGTGCCAGATCGCTGTCACAGCTTTCCCGGCAAGTCTGACTTGCCAGAACAGCTGTAGGAAACCCGAAGACCCTCAGATCATAGCACAACAGAGGCAGAATAAAAACAAACACAAGCAAAGCACTTCGGGTGGTGCACCAAGTATTTCATTTAACACCCCAGCAAGATTCCTCCCCCAGCACCCTGTCACTTCCCCCAGCCACTCTTAGCATACAAGCAAAAGAAAAGGGAGGAGAAACCTCTCTGTATTTCATCGCTGATTAACCCGACACAGATAATAGGTCTGCAGCTAGGGTGTCACTAGCCAATTCTGCCACTCCCCAAGCCCACCCGCGCACCCTGCAATGTAAAAAAGCTACAGCAACCTTTCCAGGCATCCCTTGCAAAGAGGAAGGGAGCGACACACGGTATTTGCACTGTTGTCCAAGACAAACAGCCTGTCTCGGCAAGGCTACAGAACGCGGTGTAAACAAAGAACAAACTTCTATGGCCAGAAATAATAATAATAATAAAGGCAGTGGCATGAGGTTAATTCCTTGGGTCGGCTAGAAGAAAGAAAGTTTTTCAGTTCTGTTCCCCAACTGAGGACATTAGGGATCTCCTGCTAGCTCCTTTCTTTCCTACAATAAAAAACACCCCCTCTTTCAATAAACTTTCCCTTTAAACCAACCATTATAGCATCTGCTGACTTTACTCAGCTGGCAGCAGCATGTGAAGCCTCATAGCTTGTTTAGAAGAGCTTTAACAGAGCAAGTTTGTGATCACAGTCATCGCTGCTAGGATGCTCAAAGTGCAAGGTATTTTTTAAAAGGAAAGAATGGAAGACTAGGCTTTTGTCCTACTGTACCCTTTAAATGGCTTCTACCCAAACCGGAGGTGTGAATGACCGTAAAACAACAACTTTGCTACTAGTTTAAGTCAAAGAGTTGCAATAAATAGGAAATGGCAGCAAATCCCAAACCCTCAAAATGAACAGCCCAAGACTTGCCTCGCCTCCGTGCCCATCAAATATCCCAAATATGGAAGGATGGGTCTTGTTCACCAGGTCAGTGATTACTTCGAACCTGTCCTCCATGTGGTCTCTCCGGCCTTGGATGGAGTAAACGGCCACGTTGTGGTTCTTAAATTCCCAGGTCTTGGAGAACTCGGCATCCAGCACATCCAATCCGCCGAGCCGGTCATTCTGCATGATCTCCGCCACTTTGCCCTTCACCATCTTCACGGCATCCCTGCTGGACTTGACGATGGTTTTCACTTCATCCGTATGGAAGAAGTAGCTCCAGAGTGCCAGGCTGATGCATAGCAGGAAGAGGGTCTCTGGTCTCAGCAAGAAGTAACGCATGATCCGACCCAGCAGAGAGAGCAAAGTCATTGTATCCTCTATCATTTATTACGGAGACAGTGGATTTCCCCCCCTCCCTCCTGACCATGCACCGCACACCCGCACAAACCCCGGTGATTGGGATGGGTCTAAAGACAAGGCAGCAAATCAGTGCATGCTCCGGTAATACAAACCCACTGAGGGCAGGGTTATCATCAGCTACTAAAGCTGCCGCCGCCTCCTCTCCCTGTACCACTGCTTCAGGCAGCTCAAGTCACAGATGGCTGGGAGTAGCTCTGGTGTCAAGTAGTACGAAATCAGCACACCACTTCTGTGCAACCAAGGGCAGGCTGATCTGCCTCCTCTTCTGGCTCCTGCTGTTTCCAACCAGCACGGGGCTCTGGAGAAGGTGAACTGCAAGAAAACAAGCATCCACACATGAGCAAAAAGGGGGAAGGGGATGGAGAAACAAGCACTTAAAAAAACCAAAAAAAAACAGCAGCAAGAGAGAGCTGTCAGCCTCTGTGTGCTATTGCAAAGAACTCTTCCAGCCAGGATGGAGGAGAGGAGGAAACAGCCTATGTTCGAGGGAGGACACAAAAGGACCCCTTCTGCCTTCTCCCGCCTGCTCCTCCTCTTGCTGCTGTTTCCCGGGCGCTCGCTCCCAGCTGCCCAGAGATGCCTCCGAAGTAGGACAGTAAATCAATTCATGCTTTTGCCGTCTGCAAACTCCAGGCAGAGCACACTTTTATCCAGCGGCAGCCCGGAACAGTTGCTAGCAGAGGCTCCGGGGGAGCAGAGAGAGAGAGAGAAAGAGAGATTGGAAGGTACCGAAGGAAAAACAACAACAACAAAAAACGCCACAAGGAGAATGCGCACGGAAAAACCAGGAACAATGAAAAGAAACAAATAACAAAGGGCCACGTGGGCTTTAGGAGGGGAGGACTGCATTGGAAAGCAAGACAGGATTACAGGAGGGCAGCAGAATAGAGGAGCAGTAGTAGAAATCAAAAGGGAATGAATTATTATATTATTAATATTATTATCACCTTCAGTGGGCAGAGCAGGGTCCTATTAAAAGGAAGCAGGGGTGATGTTTTGTTGTGTTTCTTGTAAAATAAACAAAACAAGGCAGAATGTCACAATCAGGAGGGCCCTTACGGTGAGCCCCCAGAACTGCAGGGTCCTAAAAATAAGGAGCAGGGCTTTAAAACAAGGCCCGCTCGGTCACCCCTGGTAAGATAATGCAGCTCCCCAGGAAATCTCCGGCACGGGAGCTGCCATGCAGCCTTTTCCTTTGCAAAACCTAAAAGGCATCGATCACCCGCATCATGCGCTCTCTTTGCAACCCGTCTGATGATGGTGAACTTCTGGGGGTGGTGTCTGTTTTTATGGAGGAGTTATTTCTGCTTCTGGCACGGGCTCCAGTTTGCAGGCCACGAGGACGCAGGGGTGCATGCCTGGGGAAGCGCGGACTCCCGAGGAGGGAAGGAGGGGAGCGCTTCCTTTCCCCCAGCCCTTACACCCACCGACTGTACCATCCCGGAGCTGCTGCAGAGATTTGCATGCTCAGGCGGCCGACCTCGCCGAGGGAGAAAGGCGGCGGCAGCAGCAGCCCGCCTCGCGCCTCTCCGCCCGCTTTGCTGCAAGAAGAGGGGAGCGAGGCGCCGGCTGCAATCCCCGGGCCGGGCAGCCAAGCGGCCGGCTCGCCCCTCGCGCGCCGCCTCCCTCAGGCCTCCGCAGCGCTCCCGGATACCACTCGCCCCTCGCCCCGCCGCCCCTTCCCCGGCCGCCGTCACCTGCAGGGCCGCCCGCGAGACACCTGGCTCAGCCTCGCCGCCAACGCCGCCTGTCCCTCCCACTGGGCTGGGCTAGTGGCCGCCGCTGCCTACGAATCCCAGGAGCCTTCGCGCAGGAGCGCTCTCGTACGATTGGCGGGAGGCCGCGCCGCGGGATTCTGGGGTTTGTAGTCCTCGAAGGCGGACGTGCTCTCTTGCGCCCTCTACCAATGAAGTAATCATTATTATTTATTTATACACCGCTTGCCTACAGAAAAAAGCAGCAGCAGCAGCAACAACAACAACTAGTACTACTATCAGTAGTGGTTTACAGGAAGATAAAATAATAAAACGGAGGGGGAAAAATACAACCCTACTTTAAGACCTATATTAGTCTTCCTCGCTAGGACTGATGGGAACTGTAGTCCCACCACTGTGGTTCTCAGCCTGTGGATCCCCAGATGTTGTTGGACTACAATTCCCATAATCCCTGAGCTCTAGCTAGGGGTGATGGGAGTTGTAGTCCAACATCATCTGGGGACCCACAGGTTGAGAAAGGCTAGCAGCACCATGTTGGCTACCCACTGCTTTATACGGTTATAGATTTAAAGGGGGGGGGGATTCCCCGAACCCTAGAAATTAATGCGAAGGTTTTGATCAACTGGGATATGGATTAAAGTTCAGAACTATGCCAAACAGGGAATTCCTGTGTTGGCTTATGCAAACCAGCCTGGCTGTCTGGGGGAAGAGCAAACCCATGAATGTGACCACAGGTGTTGATGGGCCATTGGGGAGTGAGATGTTACCAAGGTGGCTGGGTGTATGTTTGAGGGCACGGGAAAAGGGTTTCTGGGAAGAAGAAGCAGGAGGAAGGGGGGAGATCCGTCTTGGGCAGGGAGGCGGAAGGTTGCCTGCACTGCTGTGGGCCATGCAGTAAGAACTGGGCTCCCTCCACACAGACTGAAGGTGTAAGTAGGCAAATAAACCATATTTCTTAAAGCCACAACAGTCTCCGCCATGTCTTCCGTTCTCCAAAGGAACCAGGCAAGGAGAGGGGCAGGCACCCGATTTTTGTAACAATACTATAAAGAAGAGAGCCACTGTTGTGGTCAGAGCGTTGGACTTTGGAACTCCCTCCCTGGAGAAGTTAGACTTTCTCCCTCCTTGTTGTCTTTCTGCCGGCAGATGAAGACTTTCTTGTTTCAACAGGCTTTGGGGAATTGACTGCTTTTAATGAAAGGACTGGTGTTATATTGTTTGTAATTGTAATTAAGGATATGTTTTAACCAGATGTTATATATGTAAATGTAAGGTAAAGGACCCCTGGATGGTTAAGTCCAGTCGAATTTGACTATGGGGTGCGGCGCTCATCTCACTTTCAGGCTAAGGGAGCCGCCGTTTGTCCGCAGACAGCTTTTCTGGGTCATGTGGCCAGCATGACTAAAACGTTTCTGACCAAAACACAATGGGACACCGTGACGGAAGCCAGAGCACATGGAAACGCTGTTTCCCTTCCTGCCGCAACTGTACCTATTTATCTACTCATGCTGGTATGCTTTTGAACTGCTAGGTTGGCAGGAGCTGGAACAAAGCAACGGGAGCTCACCCAGTCATGCGGATTCGAACTGTCGACTATACGATCAACAAGCTCAAGAGACTCGGTGGTTTAGACCACAGCACCCCCCTTGTCCCGTTATATGTGTATATAGTTTTAATTCTGGTAATGTTTAATTGTTTTTAAATGATGGTTTTTTTCTTTGTTTTTAGCAATTCTTGTTTTTATCTATAAGCTGCCATGTGTCTCATAAGGGAAGAAGGCACAGTATATATAAATGCAAAAATAATAATAATGGAGTTTGCAGATGCATCCGAGGGAATCAGCCAGGCTGCTGCCCACCCTCTCACTGGCAATCCACATGGTCTAAATATAGGCTTCACTCAGTCTCGCCTGTTCAGCCAATTTAATGGTCTTGATCCTATTTAACTTTGACCGGATCATGCCCTGAGTATACGGCAAGTAATATGAAGGAACTTCAAATTCATGTTTACCCGACAGGAGAGTGTGGTAACTTCTCACGGTTTCCTGAACACCGCTTTTAAAAAATAAACAAACACATCCAACTCTTTAGAGGGAAATGTCACGGATGATGACAGATTCGAGCAAACAACAGATATATAAAAATAACAACACTATTTTAAGGATACTTGGAAGTTCACTGGTTCAGATAATTATCTTCTGCTCAGTACTTCTCCCATCGTAATGTATCTCTTTTATTTGAGCAGGTCAGTTGGAGCAACACCATTATGTAGAGAAACTGACTCTGTTAACTGCACAGACGTTTTGTTTATGAGCAGGTCAACCTCAGAAAGGGAATTTACTGTTTTATTTTTAAAACAGAGCGTGCTCTTTGATCATGTCAAAGAAATAATTATGCCATGATACTTTTTCTAATATCCTTTTTTTAAAAAAATCATTTATATATGAGCAGGGCCAGTCTTACCATTCTACTTTGGCTGCTTACACATTATACCTTTAAAACACATGCTGCATACAGCATACTATTAGAATGGGAGGCAAAAGATGAAGAGGTAAAATCAGTTATGATTAAATGGGCACAAGATGTAAGTCACAACATTATGATGGGAGATTGGGAAAAACTATGGAAAACTGACTTAAAATTTACAGCTTGTTCCCTATTGAAGGATAATTACATAAAGATGATGTACAGATGGTACACAACACCAGTGCAGTTAGGGAAAATGTACAAAACTAGTTCAAATATATGTTGGAAGTGTAAGGAAAAGGAGGGGACATTTTATCATATGTGGTGGAACTGTAAGGTAATTAAAATTTTTTGGGAAATGATATACAACGAATTGAAGAAAATGTTCCATTTAACATTTGTTTAAAAACCTGAAACTTTTTTTTTTTTAGGGATTGTAGGGAAAGATCTGCCAAAAAAAGCTGAAAAACAACTTCATGTATGCGACAACAGCCGCGAGAGTTCTGGTAGCACAAGGATGGAAGACTGAAGAAACCCCAACTAAAGAATCATGGCAAGAAAAATTGATGGACTATGCAGAACTGGCAAAAGTGACATACAAGCTACGGGACAAGGATAACTGTGACTTTAAAGATGAATGGGAACCCTTTACAAAGTATTTGAAGACACAACAAAGCAAATTGGATTCCTTGGCTGGTTTTGAATAAACATTCACAAACTTTTTATTGACAATAATCAGCTAAATAGTTTGAGGATTTATACAACTGTGTAACATGTAACATGCAGAAAACAGCATTTTTAGAGAAACTGAGGGAAGTTGGGGGTGGGTGGGTTTTGTGGGGGGAAGGGGGAGGGAGGAAAAATGGGGCGAAAATAAGGATGATATGTTTCTGGATAATATGTTTTGTTTTAATTTTGAATAAAAGTTATTTTTTAAAAAACAAAACACATAATTTCCCTCAAATAATTACAGTATCCTGTTAAAAACTAAGAGGTAGGCTGGATCTTCTTCACCCTTTGTGTAGAGTGTTGGACTAGCACCAGCAAGATTCAAATTCATATCCACCCGAGATGTTAAGCTCATTGGGTGACCTTACTCCTCCTCTGCCTGACAGGGTTGTTGTGAGAATTAAATGGTGGCGGTGAACCATGTATACCAAGTTCCTTGGAGAAACATGTAATAAATATATAAATGGACCACAATAAAATGTAAATTAAAGGATGAACATGGAATAGATCAATATGAACAATAAGGAATAATCATCTTTCCAGGGAACATCTGATTAAAAACTGGGATTGTATTGTGTTAAAAGAAAGGAGAAAAGTTTAATTCTGGGAACAAAACAGCTCATTGTCTCTCCTTTGCTTTGTGGCGGATATTCTGTAGAGTAAATCTTATTTTAATTGTTTATTGCATTATTGCCCTATTTACTCATTATGAGTTAAGACTCACGCAAAGATGCCTGCATCTGCTCTGGCAAGATTTGCTCCAGAATGATTGTGTTTGGGGCTTTTTAAATAACTGCTGCATTTGCGGCTTCTCCTGGCAATATATAATTGAGTTAAATTCTATGTTTAATGAAAGCTTTAATAAAATACCTTCCAAAATGTGGAGCGTAATGTTCACGATGGCCAAGGAATTCATTGCTCGCATTATCTGCCTTGCAATGAAATATAAATGCATATGGTACCCTGAGGATGTCTCCCGCTTGTAGGAAAGTTTCGTTCATATTTTTCTCGATTCTAATTCATGCGGCACATCAGCCTGCAAAACACAGAGACAGCAGCATCCTCACTTCAAACCTCTCTGCCCAAAACATGGGAAGTGTGCCGCATGGGCGTAGCCAGGATTTGTTTTTTTGGGGGGGCAGGCTTTATGTTGATCAGTTAGTTAAGTATTTTTATTTATTTACTTGAGCTGCCCCCCTCTGCACCGCCAGCTACGCCCATGGGGTTGGGTGACACTGAGGACATGAAGTCAGTGATTCTGTTGGCCAAAGTAAAGTCACTTCCAGATTACCAGTTTATCACGCATTCATCTTGTTTTGCTTGCAGGGAGACTAGACCACAGCAGTTCGTTTGAGCGTTCATTCAAATTTGTATGTGGGGGGAAATACATGACATTGCAAGTCTCCTTCTATACTTCCCAGTGCATTTTCGTGCATGGGTGTAGCCAGGAAGGTATGGGGGGCAGCTACCTACCCCCAAAATCAAGTAAATAAATAGAAATACTTAACTGACCAATTGCATTGCACATTATCTCAGTTCTGCCCCACCCCAACATAAAGCCTGCCCCCCTAAAATAAATCCTGGCTATGCCCATGTTTTCACGCCACTTTCCATTTTGCAAGAAGTCTGGTTTTGTGGCAGGTTTGTGGTATAAGAGCTCTCCATTCGACTTCAGTTGCGCATCCTGAATTTGCCAGCAAGTATTTGGATACCATCGACCTTATGGCAAATAGAAGGGGAAGAAATGGAGGCAGTGAGAGATTTTGCTTTCTTGGGCTCCATGATCACCTGCAGATGGTGACAGCAGTCATGAAATTAAAAGACGCCTGCTTCTTGAGAGAAAAGCAATGACAAACGTAGACAGCATCTTAAAAAGCAGAGACACCACCTTGCCGACAAAGGTCCATATAAGTTAAAGCTATGGTTTTCCCAGTAGTGATGTATGGAAGTGAGAGCTGGACCATAAAGAAGGCTGATCGCTGAAGAACTGATGCTTTTGAATTATGGTGCTGGAGGAGACTCTTGAGAGTCCCATGGACTTCAAGATCAAACCTATCCATTCTTGAGGAAATCAGCCCTGAGTGCTCACTGGAAGGACAGATCCTAAAGCTGAGGCTCCAATACTTTGGCCACCTCATGAGAAGAGAAGACTCCCTGGAAAAGACCCTGATGTTGGGAAAGATGGAGCACACAAGGAGAAGGGGACGACAGAGGATGAGATGGTTGGACAGTGTTCTCGAAGCTACCAGCATGAGTTTGACCAAGCTGCGGGAGGCAGTGGAAGACAGGAAGGCCTGGCATGCTCTGGTCCATGGGGTCACAAAGAGTCGGACACGACTAAACGACTAAACAACAACAACAATTTGGATCCCAACTGAAAATAGCGAAAGTCTGGAAGTACCCTAAAGGTGATGTGGGAGATTCAAGAACAGGATTCTTCTACCTATTTTAAAATATTAATAGGATAACTTATTTGAATTGGGGCCATGGCACCAATTGTGGAGTTAAAAAAAAACAAAAACCTTTCCTCCAGTGCTGCTGTCTCAATGAAAACCAAGCCTTCCCCACTGCCATTTGATCCACAGGACAAAATATACAGGTGTCATATTGGTATTTACATTGCTTCACTTCTTCTATTTAGTCCCATGAAGGTCTAGGGGTGAAATGTGGCGCTCCAGACCTTTTTACCTGACCTTCAGAACTCTCACCAGACCACTCCTATCATTGATCCTCCAAGTATTTTTGCCTGGTGTTCTTGAACTCTGACCATGACTTGTTTGCCAGGATGAAGGATACAGAGAGATGTGTGCACACATCTTTGTACTGCACACTGTACAAAGGAAACTATTCTTCTTCTTCTTCTTAATTATTCAACTTATACACTGGCCTTGTTGTTCCGCCCACTTTTGCCTCTGGCCCCTCCCACCACTGGCATGTGGCCCTCAGAAGGTTGCCCAGAAGAGAATGTCGGCCCTTGGATGAAAAAGGTTTTCCCACCTCTGCACTAAAGTGCGACTTTAGACTGTGATGCAATGCATAGTGCTCACCGCTGTAAGTTTAAGTGGGATGAAATTCTGAAATGTTCATAGCAAAATGATTGCAAGCCAGAGATAAATTCTCATTCAATTTCCTGTTCTGATAAAAAGAAAGAAAAATGGGTTAGAAAAAAAGTTAGGATGCATATTATGAGGAAGAATGCTATGCCTCTGCTTGATTTCAACCAAAAGATCAACAAGACTCGCCTTTCAGGCTGGTACTTTATTGCAATACTGTTTCTTCAACCCAGTGAAGATAGACTAGAGAGAAGAGAGTGTCAAAGGAATAGCAGGTGATTATCATCTAAAATTAGCTAATTGCTCTGCAATTTCCCCCCCTCCACAGGTCAGCGATGTCTGTTCTATAATGTTGTGAAACATTAGGCAAATATTTCTCACGCAACAGCCCCTCCTACTGATTATATGCACAGAAAGCATTGAAGTTGTGGTTTCAATTAATTGTAGGTATTAATTTTTAACAGCAAACTGGGCATCATTATAAATTAGACATTCAGGTATTGCAGTGACTCATTAGGACGAAATCAACAAGTACAATATTTATTTCACAATGGGAGGGGGGAATTGAGATAAAACCTCTTTGGAAGATTTCACCTTTTATTTTTAACACATTTTGGTTCCAGATAATTATCATTCACTGTTGACTTTGATGATCATTGGAATCTAATGACTGCCCTAAAAAACTATTTTTTGGGGGGGGGGGATTACATTATTATTAAACACACAACCAGCCATGTTCTCCTTTCCTATATGTTCTGCTGAGACATGGATTTCAGTTTCCTGAATACAAATTAAAATGCATGTGAAGCTAATTTAAATAATCAACATAATAAAAATGCAATTTCATTTCATTTACTCTGGGTATTCGTTGAGGATATCATTACTTCACCCTGGGGAAAGCTTGTAAAAGTGGAATCTATAATCTTTGTAAATTACAGTACAGCATTCAAGAATGATGAAAATAATTTGGAAAGAGCCCGAGGGAAATTTTGGCTTATATGCAATTGTCATGACACCCTCTCTTCAAAGGGTGAAACAAGGGATTAATAGTGAGATAGGGAATTGTCCTTGGAGCCAACCCCAGATGGACCAACTAATTCAAAACACTGGTATCCCAGGTGTGCCAGTACCTCTCCAGCCCAAAAAGGTTATGTTGCCCTTCTCTAACTCTGGCTTATTCACCCTTCCCCTTGTGCCTCTGCTTTCCACTAGGGGAAACAACTCTTTAGAGCTCAATTGGAGCAAATAGCAATTACCGTATTTTTTGCACCATAACACTCACTTTTTTCCTTTTTTTTTTTTTTTTTTAAAAGCAATTTATTGGGTTTTACAATAAAAATAAACATGATGAACAATATAACATTTGTCTTAACATAGTTTCACATTTTCTTTGGGCTTCCTCACATCTCCCGCTCCCACTTTCATCGTTATAACATTTTATCAGCAATTTATCATCTTATTTTGGTTCTCATATCCCTTCTATATTTCATAATCTTGTAATTCTCGAAAGGAGTTAAATTTTCACAATCTTATTTGTTTTCTTAAAAAAAAATTCTAGATTTAGTGGTGCTCAGTTGTTTTAGTCTAGCATCTTATTTAGCATTCACTCAAATTACAATGTTTTTGTAGATAATTCTTAAATTTCTTCCAATCCTCCTCTATCCTCTCTTCTCCCAGGTCACGAATTCTGCCGGTCATTTCAGCCAGTTCCATGTAGTCTATCAGTTGCATCTGCCATTCTTCCAGTGTGGGTAGATCTTGAGTTTTCCAGTATTTTGCGAGAAGTATCCTTGCTGCTGTTGTTGCATACATAAAAATGTCTGATCCTCTTTGCCACCCCTTGGCCGACAATACCCAAAAGGAAGGCCTCTGGTTTCTTAGTGAAGGTATATTTAAATACCTTTTTCAATTCATTATAAATCATTTCCCAGAACGCCTTCACTTTAGGGCAAGTCCACCAGAGGTGGACAAACGTTCCCTCACACTCTTTACATTTCCAACACTTATTGTCAGACAGGTGGTAAATTTTTG